TATGAATCATCACTGTCAAATAGTTTGGAACCTGTTTATATAGGAGAGGTTTCTCCCTCGGTTTGAGTGAAAATGATACTACCTCACAATTTCATCAACAATGTGAAGTGATTGAATTCCACCACCAACAGGAGAAAGGAATCTGGTGCAATTTGGCTCCCAGCCAGCCAGCCAGCTGCTTGAGGGGGTTCACATGTGCAATGTTTGGCTAATTGAGGGAGTGGGAGGCCTGCAGGAGGCTGAGCTTAGTGACTTCTGCCAAATGTTGCAGTAAAATGGATGTGTCCAGGTCGGACATGTAGACATCTACTGAAAAGACAAACATCCAATGGTAAAAATTAAAAAAAAAACATAATTTCTAATTCTCATATTATCCAGAAGGGACTGAAGAAATATTCCTTCACTTGTATTCATTTAAGACTTTATGAATAATTCTGAAGTAGCTCCAGAGCATTAACACAGGCCGAGTAAACAGCCAATTCCAACCAGGCAGGTTTAGAATGGGCACTGCACTAGCAAGGGTAAACACTGCAGGTGGTACAGAGGGATGAGCCAAAACTTTAGCATGAAACCAAATGTAGGACTGGGATGCGGAAGAGGTTGAGGAACGATGAGAAAGGAAAATAGAAAGAAAGGAAAGTAAACTGATCTTTCACTTGTCAGGATGCAAAGAAAAATCACTCAACACTTCAGAAGGAGACCGCTCCCTAAATGCCAGAATAAGATGTACTCATGAATCTTTATGGATGCAACAAAACCAGTCAAACCTCCGTAATGACCATGTAATCAGATCAATTAAGTTGTATGTAAGAGTGATATCACAGCTCTGCACCTGTAACCTTGTCTTTCGCATAGATCTTGCTGTACTGCCATAAAGGACTGTCATGGTTTTTGGTGGCATGCTGTCATACCGGAATCACAGACAATCAGGTGGCACTCCTGCCATGCCAGCGCGGAACAACTACTTAGAGTCGATGGTCTCACCTGAGAGTCACTCCCATTGGGTCACAAGAGTGATGGGTTTATTTGGCGTTGGGCTGTCTGAGAAGGGATCCCATGATTTGCAATCTAGGTCGGCTGATGACAAGTGGCTTTTTTGACCTGGTGTTAACGTTCATCCAGAAAGGAGACAGGAGGGGAGGAGTCGAGCAAATCAATGTGCTGTACACAACTTTGAAATAAAATCATATGTTGCCATTTGAAAAAATAAAATAAAATCAACAAGTGGGTGTCTGTCAGTAGTGTGGTGGTGGTGACCGAACATAAATCAGGATATGTGAAACACTAACTTATTTTATGTTCATTATGAAACTGTAGCAGGTCAGAGGACGTCAGCTGAGATAAAGTCCACCTGCTCTGTTCAGTGACCCTCATTCTGCAATGTACACATTTATAAATCTGCTGTCTGAAAGAGCAGTGCATGTTTGTGTTGTATTGTGTGTTTAGTATAGTTCTAAAACTTAATCCTTAGGGCCCCGGTTAAAAAAACAAAATATTTCCTTACCTTCGTGGCCAAAAATGGCCACTCCATAAAACTGCTATTTGATATATTTATATTATGTTTAAGTTAGTTAATTTAAAAGTTAAATTTAAAAGTTAAATAAAATTGTCCATAACCAACTTCAGACCCTTTAAATGTCAGTTTTAAAAAGGTGATTCCACAGTATACCAGTATACCATAGGACAATATTCAATGGACATACAGTGTGCAGTTATCAGCAGCACAGGATTTCAAGCAGCATAGTTGAGTGATTGTATGAATATTTTGATTGAGAATCGATATTCAGGATCTTTTTTTCACATTGTTGAGCATTGTGATATAGATAACTGATATCTAAGAGTGTGTGCGATTTCTTGCAAGTTGATCAAATTTAAGGGGAAGGTATGCACTCTACTGAGTTTGTGATGAAATCTGTCACGGTTATGTATTTTCAATGTTCCTCTCATGTTCCCTTCTGCCTTCCTCTGTGCTCCACCCTGTGATTCTCCTGTGTTGTTCTCTGTGTCCCTCTCCTGTGTCCCCCTCCTTGTCCCTCGCTATGTTTCACCCTGTGCCTCTCCTGTGTTCATCCCTGTCTTGGTTATTGTATTTGTGTTCTCGTTGATAAGTTTGTTCAGTGTTTCCTGTTTTATTTTGTAGTCCTTGCTCCCTGTGTTTTTACCCGTTGACTTCCTGCCCTCATCAGGTTCACCTGTTTGTCTTGTGCCACCTGTCCCCAGTTACTCATTAGTTCCAGTGTGTATATAAGTCTTTGTGTTCCCCCATGTGGTTGTTGGTTCATACTGTCAGGGTTCAGTGGAGGGGGTGCGCGAGGGGACAGGGAACGGACTCGGTAGGGAAAAAGGGAAGGACCAAAATGCAGAAACTAAATAAGGTTTAACAAAAAGTGTATTTTATTTAACAGGGGGTGAACGTAACACAAGAATTCTTCAGGAAAACAAAAGTCGCACTCAAAAAGAGGAGTGGAACACAGGAAGGACAGGAAACAAACTTACAGGGAAATGTGACGAGAGCTGACGGGACACATGAACAGAACAGAACCAGAAACGACGATGACGAACCAACAACCACAAGGGGGGAACACAGGAGAGGGACACAGAGAACAACACAGGAGAGAGACACAGAGAACAACACAGGAGAGGGACACAGAGAACAACACAGGAGAATCACAGGGTGGAGCGCAGAGGAAGGCAGAAGGGAACATGAGAGGAACACTGAAAATACATAACCGTGACTAAATCATTCCTTCAGTGCGCTCCATGATGAGATCCCTGCGAGGATCCCTGTTTTAGTGTTGTGCACACGCATTCAAAAAGTGCACATTCACCTCATGACATAACAATGTGTCTCCAAAGGAAATGAAGATGCTACCAAAGATGGATGTGGTGTTTTTTAAAATAAGCTTTACAAATGTTTTGACGCGTCACGTTTGTCAGGTCTTAGTGCCCCTCACAATTTCCTTGCTTCACTGCAGATATTTGGGCCTGAGGGGATTTTGTATTACTATTGTACTCCTATGGTACTTTAAGGTGAAAACAAGAAGGTTACTCAAGCCATTAGTGCAACAAGCATGGGTGTGGAAGTAATGTCTTTCACCTCTTGCATTACATTGTACTTGCTGATCCATCCACCCAGTTCTGGCAATGAGTGCTCAAACAATTAACAAAATTAAGAGGAACAGAATACCTGAAATGGGTGAGCTCCCTCACATGGTACGGCTGTGTGCAATGTTCTTTGCTCAGGAGAGGTAACAGCTAAGATAAATGCATGCTCTGTGTGTTGGCTGTTTTTAAAAGAAGAATCCATTAACATGATCTTTCCCTCATTGTTACCAAACACTCCCTTGAATGTACAATAGTTATGTAGTTAGTTATTAGTCAGTTGACATAAGGTCAATGCACACAATCTATTAGTAGGTGATCCAAGATGTTAATGTTTTACTTACACAACATTAATTATCTCTGCCCATCCCTCACAGTAAACACCGCCGCCAGTCTCGTCCACACCCTGGTTACATCCCACATTGATTACTGTAATTCCCTTCCTTTTGGTCTCCCTTATAAATTCCTTCATACACTTCAATTAATCCAGAACTCTGCCGCTTGCATCATTTCCAGAACCCCCTCCATTAATCACGTCACTCCTGTCCTTCAGCAGCTTCATTGGCTCCTGGTCAAATACCGCAGGTTTTTAAGACTGCGCTTTACATTTTAAGGCCATCCACAATCTCGCTCCACCATAACTTTCTGAGCTCCTGCACGTTGACACACCCTCCCACACCCTCAGATCTTCTTCCATTCATTTCACTATACCACCTGCCCGTTTGACCATCATGGGATCTAGAGCCTTCAGCGGCTCTGCCCCCCCCACCTCTGGAACTCCCTCCCACCAGACATTCGCAACACTGACTTTCTCTCCATTTTTAAATTTACATGTAAAAACTCATCTTCATAAGGAGAAACGCATGTTAGTGAAGGTTGTAAATGGATGTGGAAAACATGAAACTGTTGTGGTCATTTAAAAATTACAAATTCTACCTTCTAAAACTAAAAGTAATGCTGGCATTGCTTTTGAAAGGCAGTCCACCAACCTCTTTTACCTAATTTGCATATTAAGATTCAATCACTGGTGGATTTGGATTGAATTGAATTTAGGCGGAGTGCATATAGGATGAACCTACGTCTTCACACAGCATGTATATTGTGAAATGCCAGAGAAAGCACATTGCTGATTTTGGTACGATTTGGATGCTCTATCAGACTGGGGCACACAGGCGCTGATCTCTGATGTGCAATGTATGAAATATAACACTTTGACCTTAAATCAATTAAACTTATATACACATGTGAACAGTAACAAAGCAAATTCAGTTTGATTTCATTAAAAACATTGACTATAAAATCTTTACTGCAGATAAATCAGGTGAGTGGACAGATCCAGACTAGTTGATGCCCCCTTCCTTCCAGTCCTAACATTGAGGCTAATCAGCTGCTGGTTCAGTGTATGACATTAGAGAGTTATCAGTTGTCTTATCTGACTTTCGGCAAACAAACCCATTTCCCAAAAAGGTGAAATATTCCTTCAATGACATCATGCTGTGGTCAAATTTCACCGCTCATTGTGGAAAATTCAATTCACCATTTTTACATCGTTTTACTTTGCTATTTTCGCATTATAAGAAAGCAAACATGACTGACAAATAATTGTTATAAGTAGCATGGCAACAAACACTGTCCTCCATTAGGTCATTAGGGCTTTCATTATGTCCACACCCATGACTGTTTTTAATCTGGATGATTATTTTAAATGCAACTGTTTCTTCCTGCTTATCCACATTTTGGTGTAATTAAGCCTTGGTTAAGAGTATAAAAGCCAAACAGACCAGATGGGATGTAGGACGGCAGCTCCACTGAGATATTCTTCAGAAGTTCAGTGGTGCAGAGTCTCGCAAAGTCAGAGACAACATGAAAGCTGTCTTAGCCTTCTTGCTGGTGCTGGGTAGCCTGGCTGTCAGTTATGGTAATGGTCGTGGTCAAATGAGTCTTAGTGGTCGTGGTCCTCCTTCTCGTCCTCCTACTCGTCCTCCTATTCGTCCTCGTCCTCATCCTGTCCGTGGTAAGTCACTGTCAGATGATTTTACGTCACAGTTGTTGAAACAGTTTATTTAGTGAGATTTTTTATCTTAAATTAATATAATGTTTCCACATGTGTTCACAGCATGGAACTGCAGGGAGGGTCCTCGGCTGTATGGCGCCAGGCAGATTGATGCTGGAATGGGAAAAGTGGTTGTATCAGACAGTCGCAGACAGACCTTCTTCCTCAGTGCAGTTGCCTGGTACAGACTGGGCAGAACGAGCATGAAGCATGTCTCAGTGGGAGCTGGGGGATTGTGGGGATGTAGCCATGCCAACAAGGTGTACAAATATGTAGCTGGAGACTTCAAACTTGCCAATGGTAACTAGAATTATTATATGTTTCATATAAATAAATGCAGTGTGTATGACTGTCATTGATTCTGGTTTGCTTACTGTATGATGCATTGCAGTGCTGGTACAGTCCAATAATTATACTTGGTCAATATAAAAAAACACAACGGATTCCCAATGTTTGCATTGAACTTCTTCTTCTTCTTGGACTCGTCTTCAGGTCTGTCTATGTACCAGGTGGATGCTGGCGGTGATGGTCAGATTGTCGGAGTAGGACAGAGAAACTATAACACCTACTGTCTGAGAGAGAAGACAGCTTTGGGCTACTGTGGACGGGGCGCCCTGAGATGGACTTTCCTCTCAAGGAGGATGATGTACTACAGCTGTGGCCCAATGTGGGGATGCTGGGGAGTCGACAAAAGTTTCAGGATCTGGGTCACAAAGGTTGGTCACTGACGCATCAGTGAAATCTCATTTTGGCATCTACCCTATTTTCTCAATGATCATGACAACATCACCATGTATGTGTTCTTCTTATGACAGAATATATCACCAACCTCCTGTGGCACTAGTGGCTGGGCAGTCGTGCCAGGGCCAAGAATGAGAATGATTGAAGTGTCGTCAGACGGTAAAGTTTTTGGAGTGACTACAACTGGCAAGATCTACCAAAGGTAAGTCAGTGGTCCTCACAGTCTTTTATATTACTTTCAAACATGTATTTTACACCAAATTGTAGTATTTATAACATATACGGCAAAAAGAACAACAGCAAAGTACTATGTTATGTCTTGCTCTTTAGAGACATTACATCTGATACCAAAGTTCACAAAATGAAGATCAGAAGTCAACATGTTGATACATTTACAGTGGTGTAATTGTATTTCTAAGATTTCAACATTTTGACCAATCATGTCTCCTCCTTTAATCATTGTAAAGCTTACACACATTGTGTTAGTGCTGCTTCTAATAACAGCTCTGAGTTCATGACGATTCATAAATACACAGGTAAAATAAAAAGCTAAAACATTCTTAAAGGCGAGTCGTTAAAAGCTTTTTGCAAGAGCTTCTGTAGATGGAAACACAACTATCATAGATTTCACTCTATTGATGTTGATTCATGAATACCTGTGTGTGACTCTTCTCTCAACAGAACCGGCATCAGCAATGGTCGCAGACAAGGCACAGGCTGGGTTTACGTCCCAATGTGCATGCCTGTCAGACACGTGTCCTACGACCTGTGCAATCTTTGGATTGTGACCACCTCTGGTTTGGTCATGAAGTGCTCACACTAATCTCAGCACTTTGTCTTGGCTGTCATCCATTTAAAGTTCTTCATTTTCTTTTTAATCATCCAGTGCACACTATTAATAAATGATTCGCATTTAATTATTTTCTACAGTTTGAAATCTCTGTAACTTCAATCATCTTCTCTTTATTGGACTACTGTTTATTTAGCAATCAGTGAAAACTATGGCTACAAAAAGTAATTCTTAATATATTGTGGGTCTTTCTTAAATGATTCAGCATCAGTTCACTAAATCTCTGATGAGCANAACATGTTGATACATTTACAGTGGGGTAATTGGCCATTGTCTTTCAACGAATGAAATATTTGTACCCAGATTTAAGGCTGTACCTTCAATCAGTGTCACGCTCACAAACAGCTGAATGTTGTGGAAAACTGCAGCATTCTTCATCCAATTCTACAGCTTGCACCTTAAATATAAAGAGTGAAGTGCTGCTTCTAATTACAGCTCTGAGTTCATGACGATTCATAAATACACAGGTAAAATAAAAAGCTAAAATATTCTTAAAGGCGAGTCGTTAAAAGCTTTTTGCAAGAGCTTCTGTAAATGGAAACACAACTATCATAGATTTCACTCTATTGATGTTGATTCATGATTACCTGTGTGTGACTCTTCTCTCAACAGAAGTGGCACCAGCAAGGGTCGCAAACAAAACACAGGCTGGGTTAACGTCCCAATGTACATGCCCATCAGACGCATGTCCTACGACCTGTGCAATTTTTGGATTATGACCGCCTCTGGTTTGTTAATGAAGTGCTCACAGTAATGTCAGCACTTTGTCTTGGCTGTCATCCATTTAAAGTTCTTCATTTTCTTTTTAATCATCCAGTGCACACTATTAATAAATTATTAGCATTTGAATTTTTTTCTACAGTTTGAAATCTCTGTAACTTCATTCATCTTCTCTTTATTAGACTACTGTTTATTTGGCATCAGTGAAAACTATGGCTACAAAAAGTAATTCTTAATATATTGTGGGTCTTTCTTAAATGATTCAGCATCAGTTCACTAAATCTCTGATGAGCATTTAAAAGAAATGAAAGATAACAGCACATTTAAAAAAAAAAAAGGTTCCTGAAAATGATCAATAAACTGTCAGTAAAGAAAAAGTAAAAAAAAAACAAATTCATCTTCTCTTTATTAGACCACTGTAACTTCTTCCTGCCAGTTGGTGGACTTTCTACTAAATGATTCTCAATAAATGAACATTAAAGCAATTTCATCTGACCTTTGTCATGCTGCATCTATAATAACACTAATACTTTTGCTGCTGAGAATGTGGTGTTGAAGTAAGAAAGAAGCGAATGATTGTTGGTTCTTCCAAACAAAATGTCTTGAAAACTGTGCTGAAACCTTTCTATTTGGTTTTAGTGTGGTTTTAACATTCCTTCAACTAAATGTTCTAATCACGTTTGATAGCAGAATCCCTTCCAACTGTGTCTGCATCTACTTTCACGTTGGATTGACTGATATATGAACTGATTTCTTGCCTTTACGACTTTAATTTTAACAAGTTTATTTGTGATGGATTTCATCATTTGTTCTTCGAAAATGATCTCACCACAACATTACAATAATGTTCAATTAATGTGGTTCTTCTTCGTTTGTTGAAGCCGCTGCGTCAATGTTCAACCTGTAGTTTGTCTGTTCACGGCTACTATATAAACATGGGATGCAACATG